TTATGCGTTTGGTAACTCATCAAAAAAATTTTCAACAACTCGATTTTGAATGTTAGTAGCGCTGACTGTCGTAAGTAACATTCATGCATACACATGAATATTCAGGTATATCATAAGCTGCACACCGAACTTTGTGTTGCCAGAAGTGATAAAGAGGTTCTACTAATTGTAAGGATCTAAGTTGAGTAGTTGACAGGTTTTACTTAATACAACAGGATGATAGTAATTTTTCAGTTAGGTTACCTGCCGCCACCACCACCGTCACTCAGTCAGTATCCGCCGATAACAAACTCAACAACCACGCCGCTCGATTCAACATCTTCAAAAGTGAACGATTTTGAGCCGTGTCGCTTGGGTGCCTATCAAAATTATGATCCTGCACATAACAGCGACACACTAACAACTAAGTGTAGCTTCCAGGAACAGGTACACATCATATCCCTAAAAATACACTTCTGCCGCCTAGACTTAAGGCAGAGACAGTGCAATTGATACTTTCATGTATCTTTGGCAGGACTCCCAGTTTGGATCCATCCCGCTAATGAAGTACAGCCAGCCACCCCTCGCACCTGTACCACGCCTGTTGCTACCTGTCATTTCCATTATTTGTGCATTGCTTGTGCATGTTGTCCAAATGTTTGCACATAGAAACTCCAGCATACTTATACTGAAGCTGTGTTATCCACAAGTCACATTTATATGGAGCTATTTGTATGGCATATCTTAAATACCGGATCCCGTCTAAAATACATTGATCCCGAAATTTCTATGCATTTAACCGTCTTGAAAAATTACTCACTGATCAGCATTCACTGACGTCAGCAAGACAAGGGATGTTTCGTGCCAAAAGCTACCCTGCTGTCGCGATTATTGGCGACACTCACCGGGTAGGCCCGTACGATTATGCGTTTTTGCAAAATTTCATGCTACAATGAGATCGCTCGGAAACCCAGTAGTTAGAAATGTGTGATATACTGGTTTTCAAAGTCCGGGAAGCTAATAATCTACGCAGTATTTAGACAAGGAAAATTCCGTTGAAATTTCAGCTTTCCAAGTTTTCAGGTACTTAAGTTAGCAATTCTCCTGCCAAAAATTTTCACGAAACTGTACGTGAGTACCACATACACACTAAAGCGGTGAATTTGATAACTGTAAGTTGTACTTGTACTGGGAACACTCCCTGAAGATTTCAGCTCTCCAGCCTTCCTGGTTCCCGAGTTAGCCATTTTCGCGCCAAAAACTTTCACAGGGCCGAGTGTGAGTACCACATACACTGAGTGACTGAATTTGATAATTACAAGTTGTACTTGTGTTGGGAAAATTCCCTGAAGATTTCAACTCCCCAGCTTTCTTGGTTTCCGAGTTAGCCAATTCCCCGTCAAAAGTTTTTACGGAGCTATACGTGACAACCATGCATGCCTGGGGGTTGAAGTTGGTAATCTCAAGTTTCACAGGGCGGGGAACATCCCCATAAAACTTCAACCTCCATTCCTGATTCCCATGTTAGCGATTTTCGCGCCAGGAAACCTCACGAGGCCATACGCAGAAAACACGCATGCCTAGGTGCTGGATTTGAAATCTCTGAGTTACATGTGGACGGGGAACACCTCAAAATTTCAGCTTTCTATCTTTTCTCTTCCCGAATTAACAATTTTCCCGCCAAAAATTTCACTCTCTCGTGCGCGGAATCCAGACTTGCGTGAGGGTTGGTGCCGCGGTCCTGTGGCGGCACTTGGCCGGAAAGCCACTGGCAAAATTCTGGCGCTGCAGCTTGCTTGGGTGCCGAGTTGAAATATTCGAACATACATGCACAAACACACACATACCGGGGTCGTCACAATATGCGTTTTTATGCGTTTTTTGCAGCTATGCAGTGCAGGAAACGCATATTGACGAGAGGCTGTCTGTGTGTGTGTGTGTGTGTGTATGTGTGTATGTGTGTCTGTGTGTTCGTCTGTACCGC